CTCTATCGGGTTGAACCAGGTCTCTGTTATACCAATAATATGTATATTACCTACACTTGCAAGTAATCTTAGCTCATCTATCTTATTTCTTAAACTCCTACTATTTGTATAGTAAACCTTAAGGGAGCTAGTCACTTGTTCCCCTATACTATCTCTGTTTGCTGATCAATTGATTTGTCTTTACTAGCAACTTTATTTAGATTTTTTTTTTTTTTTTTCAACAAGTCGGCCGTCTCCCACCGAGGCAGGGTGACCCAAAAAAAAAAAAGAAAGAAAATCCCCAAAAAGAAAATACTTTCATCATCATTCAACACTTTCACCACACTCGCACATTATCACTGTTTTTGCAGAGGTGCTCAGAATACAACAGTTTAGAAGCATACACATATAAAGATACACAACATATCCCTCCAAACTGCCAATATCCCAAACCCTTCCTTTAAAGTGCAGGCATTGTACTTCCCATTTCCAGGACTCAAGTCCGACTATATGAAAATAACCGGTTTCCCTGAATCCCTTCACTAAATATTACCCTGCTCACACTCCAACAGATCGTCAGGTCCCAAGTACCATTCGTCTCCATTCACTCCTATCTAACACGCTCACGCATGCTTGCTGGAAGTCCAAGCCCCTTGCCCACAAAACCTCCTTCACCCCCTCTCTCCAACCCTTTCGAGGACAACCCCTACCCTGCCTTCCTTCCCCTATAGATTTATATGCTTTCCATGTCATTCTACTTTGATCCATTCTCTCTAAATGACCAAACCACCTCAACAACCCCTCTTCTGCCCTCTGACTAATACTTTTATTAACTCCACACCTTTTCCTAATTTCCACACTCCGAATTTTCTGCATAATATTTACACCACACATTGCCCTTAAACAGGACATCTCCACTGCCTCCAACCGTCTCCTTGCTGCTGCATTTACCACCCAAGCTTCACACCCATATAAGAGTGTTGGTACTACTATACTTTCATACATTCCCTTCTTTGCCTCCATAGATAACGTTTTTTGACTCCACATATACCTCAACGCACCACTCACCTTTTTTCCCTCATCAATTCTATGATTAACCTCATCCTTCATAAATCCATCCGCCGACACGTCAACTCCCAAGTATCTGAAAACATTCACTTCTTCCATACTCCTCCTCCCCAATTTGATATCCAATTTTTCTTTATCTAAATCATTTGACATCCAATTTTTCTTTATCTAAATCATTTGACACCCTCATCACCTTACTCTTTTCTATGTTCACTTTCAACTTTCTACCTTTACACACATTCCCAAACTCTTCCACTAACCTTTGCAATTTTTCTTTAGAATCTCCCATAAGCACAGTATCATCAGCAAAAAGTAACTGTGTCAGTTCCCATTTTGAATTTGATTCCCCAAAATTTAATCCCACCCCTCTCCCGAACACCCTAGCATTTACTTCCTTTACAACCCCATCTATAAATATATTAAACAACCATGGTGACATTACACATCCCTGTCTAGACCTACTTTTACTGGGAAGTAGTCTCCCTCTCTTCTACACACCCTAACCTGAGCCTCACTATCCTCATAAAAACTCTTTACAGCATTTAATAACTTACACCTATTCCATATACTTGCAACATCTGCCACATTGCTCCTCTATCCACTCTATCATATTCCTTTTCTAAATCCATAAATGCAATAAAAACTTCCCTACCTTTATCTAAATACTGTTCACATATATGCTTCATGTAAACACTTGATCTACACATCCCCTACCCACTCTGAAACCTCCTTGCTCATCTGCAATCCTACATTCTGGTCTTACCTCTAATTCTTTTAATTATAACCCTACCGTACACTTTTCCTGGTATACTCAGTAAACTTTATTCCTCTATAATTTTTACAGTCTCTTTTGTCCCCTTTCCCTTTATATAAAGGGGGACTATACATGCTCTCCGCCAATCCCTAGGTACCTTCCCCTCTTCATACATTTATTAAACAAAAGTACCAACCACTCCAACACAAATATCCCCCCTGCTTTTAACTTTTTCTGTCATGATCCCATCAGTTCCAGCTGCTTTACCCCCTTTCATTCTACGTAATGCCTCACGTACCTCCCCCACACTTACATTCTGCTCTTCTTCACTCCTAAAAGATGGTATACCTCCCAGACCAGTGCATGAAATTACTGCCTCTGTTTTTTCCTTAACATTTAAAAGTTCCTCAAAATATTCTCGCCATCTACTTAATACCTCCATCTCCCCATCTACGAACTCCCCTACTCTGTTTTTAACTGACAAATCCATACTTTCCCTAGGTTTTCTTAACTTGTTTAACTCACTCCAAAATTTTTTCTTATTTTCATTAAAATTTCTTGACAGTGCCTCTCCCACTCTATCATCTGCTCTCCTTTTGCACTCTCTCGCCACTCTCTTTACCTTTCTTTAACTCTCCATATACTCTGCTCGTCTTATAACACTTCTGCTTTGTAAAAACCTCTCATAAGCTACCTTTTTCTCTTTTATCACACCCTTTACTTCATCATTCCACCAATCACTCCTCTTTCCTCCTGCCCCCACCCTCCTATAACCACAAACTTCTGCCCCACATTCTAGTACTGCATTTTTAAAACTATTCCAACCCTCTTCAATCCCCCCACTACTCATCTTTGCACTAGCCCACTTTTCTGCCAATAGTCGCTTATATCTCGCCCGAACTTCCTCCTCCCTTAGTTTATACACTTTCACCTCCCTCTTACTTGTTGTTGCCGCCACCTTCCTTTTTTCCCATCTACCTCTTACTCTAACTGTAGCTACAACTAAATAATGATCCGATATATCAGTTGCCCCTCTATAAACATGTACATCCTGGAGCCTTTCCTTCAACCTTTTATCCACCAATCCATAATCTAATAAACTACTTTCATTACGTGCTACATCATACCTTGTATATTTATATATCCTCTTTTTCATAAAATATGTATTACTTATTACCAAATCTCTTTCTACACAGCTCAATTAAAGGCTCACCATTTACGTTTACCCCTGGCACCCCAAATTTACGTACTACTCCCTCCATAACATTTTTACCCACTTTAGCATTGAAATCCCCAACCACCATTACTCTCACACTTGATTCAAAACTCCCCATGCATTCACTCAACATTTCCCAAAATCTCTCTCTCTCCTCTACACTTCTCTCTTCTCCTCTCTCCTCTCTCTCTTCTCCTTCTTTAGCTCTAACTCTATTTGAAACCCCTGACCTAATCCCATTTATTCCTCTCCACTGAAACTCTCCCACCCCCTTCAGCTTTGTTTCACTTAAAGCCAGGACATCCAGCTTCTTCTCATTCATAACATCCACAATCATCTCTTTCTTATCATCTGCACAACATCCACGCACATTCAGACTTCCCACTTTGACAATTTTCTTCTTCTTATTCTTTTTAGTAATCTTTACAGGAAAAGGGGTTACTAGCCCATTGTTCCCGGCATTTTAGTCGACTTTTACGACACGCATGGCTTACGGAGGAAAGATTCTTATTCCACTTCCCCATAGATATAAAAGGAAAAGTAATAAGACCAAGAACTATTAAGATAAAATCAAAGAAAACTCAGATGAGTGTGTATAAATAAATGTGTACATGTATGTGTAGTGTGACCTAAGTGTTAGTAGAAGTAGCAAGACATACCTGTAATTTTGAATATTGTCTTTTAGACATATCCCTGAGGTATCCTGGAAATAACTGCTGTTTTTAACCCTAATGCTGCAGCCTGATTGTTTCCCACAAACACCCATACCTCTATAATCTATCAGTTTAAATTCCTAGACAAGTCATCAATTACCCTCTCAATTGAATTGGCTAATGCAACCACTCCATCCCCAGAGAGATGAACCCCATCCCTTGCATACATATCACGTTTGCCAAACAATAGGTCCCGGTTATCAATGAATGGGATTGCAAGTTCCTTGCAGTACCTGTCTAGCCAGCAATTTATACCAATTGCTCTAGACATCCATTCATTGCCCACTCCCTTTCTAGGCAAGGTGCTACATATGACTGGGATCCCTCCCTTAGACCTATCTACCTCTATGGCTAACCTGTACTTATCCAGCAGCTCCTCTCTCCTGCCCTTCCCAATATCATTACCCCAGCACTAAGACAGATAATAGGCTTATTCCCATTACCTGCCATAATATTATCCAACCTGCTGACTATGTCACCAACACCAGCTCCAGGAAGGCACACTCTCTGTATGACCTTTCTGTCTCTGTTACAAAATGCACGGTCCATATATCTTACCTGAGAATCGCCTACTATTAAAATATTCTTACCTTGATTAGCAGGGGAATCAGTGGTACCTTCAACCTCACTAACCACTGAAGTACACTCGTCTTGGAGAACAGAGAATCAATTTCCTACCTTCACATCTTCTCTATTAACTCTCCTCATCTTCCTTCTTCCTGAACTGTGAACCACTTGCCACTTAAAGCGGCTGCCGCTATCACTGCTGGTGACCATTCCTTCCTTACCAGCTAAATCCTTCTCACACTCGCTCCCAAACTCATCTATACGAAGCTTCAGCCTTCCATTTTCCTCCTGAAGAAGTAGGATCTCCTCCTTCAACACTTGAACCTGAGATTCTAAAACACTACAACAAGCCATGGTGCTTGGTAACAGCCCACGCTAACTCCCAAGAGCTTAGCCAGGTATGACCGCAAGTGACCACTGACCTCAGTGTACTATGTATTATTCCAGTCACAGTATAGTGCCTTTTTGTTCTGCACAATTTATCTTTATTAGGTCTAACAGAAAATAAAAATTGTCTGCCTCCAATATAGAAGCATTGAATATATATTTAAAGGAATTTTGTTACCAATCTGTAAGGGTGCCCAAACTTAAGCCTACCCATGCTCAAATTTCTCAGTCTGGCCATGAGTACTGTATTTAAAATATATTCTTTGTGGTATTTTTTTGTTTGTTAATTTTTATTAATGAATGAGTAATTGCACAGGAGATGATAACAGCACCTGTCTAGGTATCAACACCCTAGAAGAAGTGGGCGAAAACTTTGGAGGTCGAGGCAACAAGGATTCCCCTGCAGATAACCCCAAGCTCTCTCCTAAGATTGCTGTGATGGAGCCTGTCTTACGCTTTCTGCAACTGCTCTGTGAAAATCATAATTTGTTTCTCCAGGTTAGTGAGTCATGCATTGCAATTTCTGAATCTATTTATTATACTATAGTTTTTTATTTGAGAAATTTGCCGTCTTAATGCACTCTTTTCTCCATTTAAAGTATCCAGTATTTAACAAATTGCTTTCTCTGCAGTTCTGTGAGTTCAAAATTTTTAGGAACATTAATTTATGTTACTTTGTCATTGTAAAATTTTTACACTTACTAAAGATAAAGAAACAAAAAATTGCTATGACTTGGGGCTCACTGCACTACCGTTTTTATTTATTTATTTATTTAGTAATTTAAGCATACATACAGAGGTACAAAAAATACAGGTAAGAGCAGCATGCCAAAGCCACTTATATGCATAGCATTACGGGCTGGCTTAAAATTAACTTAATAAATTGGGGCCAAAAATATGACAGTCCTAAGGTTATAGACCTTTTAGCTATCTGTGTTTATCCAACTTCACTTATTTATTTTTAGGTGCCATATTACCTACACTTACAGATTTATTGTTTCCCATGAAAAATACAACAACTTCCAGAAAGCAAAAAAAAAATGTGAAGGATGACATGTGTACACCTAAGAAGTGTACCCTGAGGTAAAATTAAACATAACTGCTCTAAGTTGAGCTACATTATCAGTAATAAAATCTTTGCACCCTAAACATTAGACTCTAATTATATTGATAAGACAATAAAAAAAATATTGTGTAGGCATTGATGAAAGAAACATACCTGTAACATTAAAATACAATGTTTTTCATAATTGTAGTTAGCTTGGTGCAAATATGGAAACAGAAGTCTCCTGAGGTGCATATGATCATTATAACATCAGCACAGACAAAGGTAATTTCAAACATACTTTACGTCATACTTGCGACTAGTTCTTGAATGTGTATTGTCAGTGTGGAACCCACGCCTAATAAAACACTGAAACTAAGAGAGTACAAAGGAAAGCATCACTGCTGGTACATGAGCAGTGAAAAGAAGCTAGAAAGAAAGTATGCAAGAACTACTAATCTTAGTGGGGTAGCAAAGAATGAGGGAGTGTGACCTCCATATAAAAAAAATACTATTGGGGTATATACAAGGGAGACAAGAATAGGCTTTACCAGAGATATAACAAGAATAAGCAGGCCTGGTTGAAAATAACACATAAATGAGCCACAAGAATACTAGGAAGCATTGTTTCAACATAAAAATAGTAAAGGAGTGCAATAAGCTGAGAAATGGCACAGTGGTTTTAAAAAATAGATTTAACAGGGCTCAGTCAGTCAAGAGTTTAGTGGCAGGACCAAGAGCTGAAACTCACTCCCTGCAGACTCGAATATGAAATTTCAAACACAAGTGGTAAATATCATATTCTTATTTTTTTTCAGAATTTCCTAAGGAATCAGAAAAGTAAGACAAATTACAACTTAATAAGCAAAACTCTTATGTTTTTGGACTGTATATGTGGGTCAACAACTGGCGGGTTGGGTCTCCTCGGACTCTACATTAATGAACACAATGTCTCTCTCATTAATCAAACTTTAGAAACGCTTACCGAATATTGTCAAGGCCCCTGTCATGAGAACCAGAACTGCATTGGTGAGTGTTCTTCTTAATTTAGTTACTTTTCTTAATGCATGACAAATTTTGTTATTTTTATTTTTTATTATTAATGCATCAGCTGTTACCCACTAAGGCAGGGTGACCTGAAAAAGAAGAAACACTATCATCATCATTCACTCCATCACTGTCTTGCCAGAGGTGTACCTACACTACAGTTAAAAAAAATGCAACATCAACAGCCCTTATTCAGAGTGCAGGCACTGTACTTCCCATTTCCAGGACTCAAGTCTGGTTAACTGATTTCCTTGAATCTCTTCATAAATGTTTCCCGGCTCACACTCCAACAGCACGTCAAGTCATAAAAACCATTTGTCTCCACCCCTACCTAACACACTCATGCACACTTGTTGGAATTCCAAGCCCCTCGCACACAAAACCTCCTTTACCCCCTCCCTTCAACCTTTACTAGGCTGACCCTTACCCTGCCTGCCTTCCACTACAGATTTATATGCTCTCCAAGTCATTCTGTTTCATTACATCCTTTCTGAATGTCCGAACCACTTCAACAACCCCTTCTCAGCCCTCTGGATAATACTTTTAGAAACCTACACTCCTCCTAATTTCCAAACTATGGATTCTCTTCATTATATTCACACTGCACATTGCCCTCAGACACGACATCTCCACTGCCTCCAACCTTCTCCTTGTTGCAACATTCACCAACATTCCACACTATACTTATTAAATGATTTAATTATACTATTAGCTGTGTGTATAACCATTTTACTGAGTGTTTTAATAGACTTGAGTCTGGGAGGTAGGATGTACAGTGCCTGCACTTTGAAGGAGAGATGGTGGTGCTACAGTGTAGAGGGTCATTTGAATTGTGATGTCAAGCACTTCTGGCAATATAGCACTTGAATGTTTCCTTGTGATAGTAAAAAATTTCTAATGGTAACTCTTATGTTATATTTAATACCTAATTTTCTCCTGCTAATTTGTCTACCATTTTAACTACATTCAAGTGTTAAAGATGTATGAAATTCTGAAGACTGCTGTTGTCAAGACATTCCTCACTCCTTTTCTCACTGGCACACTGTTGACATAAACAGTGACAAACTTGGCTCACTGACAAGCATTCTTGTTAACCTTTTAGGAAAAAACATTTTATTAACACTTTGACTGTTTCAGTCATATATATACGTCTTATGAACCTATGTGTTTGAGACGTACATGTATATATACTCAAAAATTGTAGCAGCTTCAAATCAAGCGGGAGAAAGCTGATACTCCCACATGTGGGAGAATGGGTCTGTGTGGTCAGTGTGTGCAGTATAAATAAAATCTTACAGCACACAGTGCATAGTGGGAAAAAAAGCTCCAACCGTGTTTTTGGATTAAAACGCCAACTTTGAGGTGCATTTTCGTATAGTATTTATTTTTGTATTCTCATTTTCTTGGTCTCATTTGATAGAATGAAAGACATATAGAAATAGAGATGATTTTGATTGGTTTCACTATGAAAAGGACCTTGAAATTGAGCTCAAAGTAGCAGAAATGTTCGATTTTTGCTGATGTTCAAGAGTAAATAAATGACATCATTGTCCAATAAATGTCCAACTAGTCATTCTAATACGCAGTCACAAGTGGGTTGGCATTATTTATAAAATTATGACAATAATGCAGCAGTCTGCATAACAGTAAATCTTCTGTTTTTTGTACTAATAAAAATTCAAAATAGAAAGCAAGAGTAATATAAGAGGGGCCTGGAGACATGTTATTTTAGTGCCAGGAATGTCTATATTGTTCATTCTGGACCCTGTTTTGAAATTGGCATATTTTTTAATTTGCTTGAAATTGGCCAAATTGCGAATTTATGACCACTTTATTGGGTAGTTGAAATCGGTAAATTGGCAGTTTCTTGTACTCAATCGATAGAACAAATGGAGTTCTAAAGAAAAAGCTATGAGTTTGGTTGACTGGAACACTGGAATGGAATTATGCAAGAGCATAATTCCGTAAGTTTTCCATCAAATTTCGTACTTACTGAGAGACACTCTAGGATTGGGGGTTGTGACAGTCAAAGGGTTAAAAGGCATTGTAGTCAATAAGAATAGGGTGGCACTGCCACTGTTCTTTATATCATATACACATGATATGAGCAAACATCATACGCATTTTTCAGTACCAAAATTTTAATACAGTGGACCCCCGGTTAACGATATTTTTTCACTCCAGAAGTATGTTCAGGTGCCAGTACTGACCGAATTTGTTCCCATAAGGAATATTGTGAAGTAGATTAGTCCATTTCATACCCCCAAACATACACGTACAAACGCACTTACATAAATACACATACATAATTGGTCGCATTCGGAGGTGATCGTTATGCGGGGGTCCACTGTATGCGTAAAGGAAGAAAGTCGAAAGTAAACATAAATAACAGTAAGGTGATGAGGATATCAAACAATTTAGATAAGGAAAAATTGGAAATCAGATTGGAGGGAGGGAGTATGGAAGAAGTGAATGTGTTCAGATATTTGGGAGTAGACTTGTCAGCAGATGGGTTTATGAAGGATGAGGTAAACCATAGAACTGATGAAAAAAAAAAAGGTGGGTTGTGCATTGAGGTATCTGTGGAGACAAAGAACATTATCCATGGAGGCAAAAAAGGGAATGTATGAGAGTATAGTGGTACCAACACTCTGATATGGGTGTAAAGCATGGGTCGTAATTGTTGCAGCAAGGAGGAGGCTGGAGGCAGTGGAGATGTTGTGTCTACGGGCAGTGTATGGTGTAAACATTATACAGAGAATTCATCATGTGGAAATTAGGAGGAGGTGTGGAGTTACTAAAATTATTATTCAGAGGGCTGAGGAGGGGCTGTTAAAGTGGCTTGGTCATTTACAGAGAATGGATAAAAATAGGATGACTTAAAGGGTGTATAAATCTGTAGTGGAGGAAAGGAGGGGTAGGGGTCATCCTACAAAAGGATTGAGGGAGGGGGTAAAAGAGGTTTTGTGTGCAAGGAGCTTGGACATACAGTAGGCATGTGTGAGCATGTTTGATAGGAGTGAATGGGGACGAATGATTTTTGGCACTTGAAGAGCTGTTGGAGTGTGAGCAGGGTAATATTTTGTGAAGGGATTCGGGAAAACTGGTTAGCCAAACTTGAGTCGTGGAGGTGGGAAGTACAGTGCCTGCACTTTAAAGGAGGGGTTTGAGATATTTGCTGTTTGGAATGACATCTGAACGTCATATCTGGGCACCTCTGCAAAGACAGTAATTATGTGCGAATGATGGTGAAAGCTTCTTTCTCTTTTGGGTCGCCCTGCCTCTGTGGGAGACAGTGTGTTGAAAATAAAAATTAGTTGGAACAAGAGAGATACAAGGTATACCTCAGTGGTAGGAATAGACAAGTAGAAGGAAGATTTTGAATATAATAATATAAGGGAAGGGGGACAAAAGAGATTGTAAAAATTATAGAGGAATAAGTTTACTGAGTATACCAGGAAAAGTGTACAGTAGGGTTATAATTGAAATAATTAGAGGTAAGACAGAATGTAGGATTGCGGATGAGCAAGGAGGTTTTAGAGTGGGTAGGGGATGTGTACATCGTGTTTACATTGAAGCATATATGTGAACAGTATTTAGATAAAGGTAGGGAAGTTTTTTTATTGCATTTATGGATTTTGAAAAGGCATATGAGAGAGTGGATAGAGGAGCAATGTGGCAGATGTTGCAAGTATATGGAATAGGTGTTAAGTTATTAAATGCTGTAAAGAGTTTTTATGAGGATAGTGAGGCTCAGGTTAGGGTGTGTAGAAGAGAGGGAGACTACTTCCCGGTAAAAGTAGGTCTTAGACAGGGATGTGTAATGCCACCATGGTTGTTTAATATATTTATAGATGGGGTTGTAAAAGAAGTAAATGTTAGGGTGTTCAGGAGAGGGGTGGGATTAAATTATGGGGAACCAGATACAAAATGGGAATTGACACAGTTGCTTATTGCTGATGATACTGTGGTTATGGGAGATTCTAAAGAAAAATTGCAAAGGTTAGTGGACGAGTTTGGGAGTGTGTGTAAGGGTAGAAAGTTGAAAGTGAACATAGAAAAGAGTAAGGTGATGAGGGTATTAAATGATTTAGATAAAGAAAAATTGGATATCAAATTGGAGAGGAGGAGTAGTATGGAAGAAGTGAATGTTTTCAGATACTTGGGAGTTGACGAGAGATGAGAGAGTGGGTGAGATGTTATCAACAAATTTTGTTGAAAATAAGAAAAAGTTTTGGAGTGAGATTAACAAGTTAAGAAAGCCTAGAGAACAAATGGATTTGTCAGTTAAAAATAGGAGAGGAGAGTTATTAAATGGAGAGTTAGAGGTATTGGGAAGATGGAAGGAATATTTTGAGGAATTGTTAAATGTTGATGAAGATAGGGAAGCTGTGATTTCGTGTATAGGGCAAGGAGGAATAACATCTTGTAGGAGTGAGGAAGAGCCAGTTGTGAGTGTGGGGGAAGTTCGTGAGGCAGTAGGCAAAATGAAAGGGGGTAAGGCAGCCGGGATTGATGGGATAAAGATAGAAATGTTAAAAGCAGGTGGGGATATAGTTTTGGAGTGGTTGGTGCAATTATTTAATAAATGTATGGAAGAGGGTAAGGTACCTAGGGATTGGCAGAGAGCATGCATAGTTCCTTTGTATAAAGGCAAAGGGGATAAAAGAGAGTGCAAAAATTATAGGGGGATAAGTCTGTTGAGTGTACCTGGTAAAGTGTATGGTAGAGTTATAATTGAAAGAATTAAGAGTAAGACGGAGAATAGGATAGCAGATGAACAAGGAGGCTTTAGGAAAGGTAGGGGGTGTGTGGACCAGGTGTTTACAGTGAAACATATAAGTGAACAGTATTTAGATAAGGCTAAAGAGGTCTTTGTGGCATTTATGGATTTGGAAAAGGCATATGACAGGGTGGATAGGGGGGCAATGTGGCAGATGTTTGCAAGTGTATGGTGTAGGAGGTAGGTTACTGAAAGCAGT